GAGCAACAGGGGGCCACGTACGACGTGGTCCACTGTCTATGTGTCCGTAATCCCGAGCAGGCTCTGAGGTGACTCCACCCCTCGCAGGCATTACAGTTGACTGAGGTGGAATTGTGGTGTAATCGTCTCCGGCATACACAGCAGGTGTAGGTTTCTGGCCCTGGGTTTGACTCGATGCCAGCCCTGAGTAGAAGAATACATAGTGAATGTAGCCCTATGGGCGAACAACTTCTGAGATACTTCGCCGACCTAAACGGGGTTAGATCGCCGAAACAACAGCCCTTGGTCGGGTAAAACCCGAGTCATTCCGGTACGTAGAACCGGCTGTCGTGGGAATGCAATTTGCGGTCTACACCTGCGGTTTCTCGCATGCGTCGTCACGCAAGCGAGATTTTCCAGCACGTGAACACGGCCGGTAACACTAATCTGCGGTGAAACATAGTTATCGACGTTTTCGACTCCATGCATACAAAACGTGTCGGTAATGTCGATAACNCACGGCCGGTAACACTAATCTGCGGTGAAACATAGTTGTCGACGTTTTCGACTCCATGCATACAAAACGTGTCGGTAATGTCGATAACTATGTTTAACCGCAGATTAGTGTTAACCAGACATTGAGTAATCGGCCCTAAGGGCCGGTTGTTCAATGTATGGTTATCACTACCACTACACTATCGACGATTTCGACATCATGCATGTAACATGTGATCGATAAAGCAGTAGTTCTGCTTAACCGGAGCTTCTACCTCCGATTTGTGCTAATCAGACATTGAACAACCGGCCCTAAGAGCCGTATACACCAGGCAAGCGGTTTGTCAAACTTAAGAGGTAATTAAATTACGCAAGCAGCTCGTTAAACCTTCTTTAGGGCCGTTTACTCAATATGTGGTTAGCGCTAATCTCCGTTTAAACATCATTATCGACGTGTTCGGCTCCATGCATATAACATGGAGTCCGTAACGTCGATAACGATGTTTTACCGGAGATTAGTGTTAACCAGACATTGAGTAACCGGCCCTTAGTATTTTCCCATACACTTTTTTGTAGATGAAAAATAAATTTCAACTTAAATAAAGATATTTCGGGTAAAGTATCGATGTCTTCGATGTATCGCCTGGGAGTATCGTTTCAAAAAATCGATTATCGCACTATGAAATATCGATATTCAGAATAATTGATACGATATCGAGCTTCTAGTTATATTGTGGATTGAACACACCTTATGTTAATATTCTGGTTTTTTTCAGCCGGTGTTTAATTAAAAGAAAGTCGTGGTAATTTCGCAAAAATGACTGCTTTTGAAGGTAAATAAAATGAGGAAGTTTATTGCATATGAGGGATTTTAAAGTTTACTGCTTTCTACTTAGAATTTGGTGTCTTACCGGAAATCGCTAAAGCTATTGAAGACATGGAGTGGACTCTGCCCACGGATGTGCAAGCCGAGGCAATACCTCTCATTCTTGGTGGTGGTGATGTACTTATGGCAGCCGAAACTGGTTCTGGCAAAACTGGAGCTTTCTGTTTACCCATCTTACAAATTGTGTGGGAAACCTTACGCGATCTCGAAGAGGGAAAAGTGAGCAAAACTGCTAGTGCTGGTGGTAGCATTGCACCCTGGACAATGTCCTTCTTTGATCGCGGTGCTGCACTTGCTGTAACACCGGATGGAATGCGTTGTCAATCTCGTGAGTTTAAGGAATGGCACGGCTGCCGAGCAACAACTGGCGTACGTGGCAAAGGCCAATTCTACTTTGAGACAACGGTCACAGACGAAGGTCTCTGTCGCGTGGGTTGGTCAACGCAACAAGCTAACCTGGATCTCGGTACCTGTAAGAATGGCTTCGGATTTGGTGGCACCGGAAAGAAGTCAAACAACCGCCAGTTTGATGATTATGGTGAAGCATTTGGGAAAAGTGACGTTATTGGTTGCTTTTTAGACCTACAGCGCTTAGAAGTGTCATTTGCTAAGAATGGTAAACACTTAGGTGTAGCATTTCGCATCCCGGAAAATCTGCGAAACGAGACATTTTATCCAGCTGTTGTCTTAAAAAATGCAGAAATGTTATTTAATTTCGGAAAATCTGAATTTAAGTATCCACCGAAGGACGGCTTCATCGCTGTATGTCAGGCAGGTACAGAGCGCTCCAAGGCTAACCCGCTCGCTAGTCCAGCGACAAATGCTGCAGCTAATAAGCCAGCACCGAATGCACCTCAGGCAATTATTATAGAGCCTAGTCGCGAATTAGCGGAGCAAACTTATAATCAAATTGAAAAGTTTCGTGTGCATTTGAGCAACCCCGATGTGCGTTCACTTCTGCTAATTGGTGGGGTTAAGCTGGAACAACAGAAGAGCTCCCTACAACAAGGAGTGCATATTGTGGTGGGCACACCTGGCCGACTAGAAGAGATGATTAGCAGTGGTTTTGTTCAACTGACACACTGCAGGTAACTTTCGAAATCACATATTTTCGTTAGACATTTTTTCTTTAGAAATCTTAATCAATTGCAATAAAATATAGCTGACTACCATGGTACAATTATTACGTGTAATTATTGTACCATGTCTGACTACCTTCATAACAGATTTTTTGTGCTGGACGAAGCTGATGCTTTACTTAAGCAAGGATATACCGATTTGATTGAACGTCTTCACAAGCAAATTCCGAAAATTACATCGGATGGCCGGCGCCTGCAAATGGTTGTCTGTTCTGCTACTCTACATGCGTTTGAAGTTAAAAAGATGGCAGATCGTCTGATGCACTTCCCCACTTGGGTAGATCTTAAAGGCGAAGATGCAGTACCAGAAACTGTGCATCATGTCGTTTGCATGGTTGACCCACAAAAGGATACCGCATGGCACAATATTAGACAGCACATACGCACCGATGGTGTACATGCACGCGACAATGTTAATCCACAGAATCCCACGCCTGAGACACTCTCAGAAGCAGTCAAAATACTTAAAGGCGAATATTGCATAGGTGCGATTGAGCAACATAAAATGGATCGTGCAATTATTTTCTGCCGTACTAAGTTGGATTGTGACAATTTGGAAAATTATTTCAAGTCGCGTGGCGGCCAACGATACTCTTGTGTTTGTTTACATGGAGATCGTAGGCCACAAGAGCGCAAGCAAAATTTGGAAATGTTTAAACGTGAACAAGTAAAATTTCTTATTTGTACAGATGTAGCAGCAAGAGGTTTAGATATAACTGGCCTGCCATTTAGTAAGTTAATCCGATATATGTATATTTATAACATTTTTTCTCACAAACCCCACTATCAGTGATAAACGTAACATTGCCTGATGAGAAGTCAAATTATGTTCATCGAATTGGTCGTGTAGGTCGCGCTGAGCGTATGGGTTTGGCTATTAGCTTAGTAGCTTCTGTACCAGAAAAAGTAATAGAATATTTTACCGTTATTTTTTAGTTCATACCATATATTTTTTAACAGGTTTGGTATCACGGAGAATGGTGCCCAACGCGCGGAAAGAAATGCCAGAATACAAACCTTACTGATGTGCGTGGGTGCTGCATTTGGTACAACGAAATGAATGTAAGTACGCTTAGAACGTATTTAAATTGAGTACCAACAGATACATTTTCTCTGACTTTCGATTTCGCCCGATAGTTATTAGGGGAAATAGAGGATCATTTGAATATTACCATTCAACAAGTTGATAAATCATTGTCAGTACCCGTAAATGATTTCGATGGCAAAGTTGTTTATGGGCAAAAGAACTTAAATACCGGCACTGGATATAAGGATCATGTGCAACAGTTGGGACCAGTTGTACGAAAACTAACTGAACTGGAGCTGCAGGCACAATCTTTATTCTTGAAGCGTTTAAAATTTTAAATATACACAAATGATTCGCTATGGAAGTTGTACAACGTACACACAACCCATCTGGCTAACACTATAATACATTAATTAATCGCATTGCTTTTCATTCAAACAATGTGGGAACTATTCGTTTTTTCAGACATACATTCATACTTAAAATGCATAATTACAAGCATAAATTAAAATGGAAATTGCTTACAGCTAATTTGTATTTGTTTTTCAGCTTTCATTTAGTTTAAGGTTGAATCTCTTTTGGCTCTCCTCGATTATAAAATGTCAGAAACAGACTTCTTTTCTCACAATGACTCTTTTGTGCACTCACTGTCATCTTCATCGGCACCCTCCTCGTCTTCTTCATTGAATTGTGTACGCATTTGTTGTACAGAAAGTAATTGTTTGCAAAGTTGATTGCCAAAGGACTCCACGTAGCTGGGACTGATTTTATTTAACAAAGAATATGGCGTTTCATAAACCTCCCCTTCGTCCTCATTTACTTCATTTTTATCAGCATCAATTGTATCAAATCTATTGGCAACCACGCGAAAACCAATACTCGATACTTGCACACAGTATTCCTGACCCTCGATAGTGCGCACGTTCAGGTACACTTTACTCTCGTTGTTGGGCAGTTGTCGGGAGATTTCAATTAGTGCAACATGAGGATTAACATCTCGTATAATCGCAGCTGCTTCCTCCTCCCAGTTAATAATTTCTTCGTCACCATTGTCATAAGTAGGACTAGGAGCGGGGTTGGTATCTGAGGGAATACTCATCTTAATTAAATATCGGCTTTTACACGAAGATGAAAAGGATATCTTATACGGATATCATATGTACATATATGATGCAGTTTTCAGATTTTGCTAGTAAAACGACAGCGATTTCGGCCACATCCAATAATTAGGAAAATTTGCCGAAAAAGTACCAAAGTTTAAAAGACCATACTTAGGGTTTACACCAGACAATTATGAACCAAAAATACAAGATCACACCTTCTTCTTAGTAGCCCGTTATAATCGCATTTAGGAAAAAAGTTAGGCGACTTTGACATTAGCCGTTGTTTACAATTTGGTGGTGGCTTTTAACTGCAATTTTCTTAATTTTCGCTTGTGACAACGTGTGCACACATAACATGATTTATAGAAGAATTTGCATAATAAAAATGATTATTCATGCGTTCAACAATTACGCGTTTGTTTTTTGTTCTCTTCGTTGTTTACTTCTTACAACAAAGATGGCGTCGAGATTTCAACAGCTACAAAATAACTTTTTTCTTTCTTTCGGGAAAGCGTGATCTGTGTCTTTCGTTCAGCTGAAATTAGTCAAGAACGTAAACGTACCGGTACGTAAAACCGAGTCAGCTGACACGATCTGTCATACCAGAGCGCCATGTAAATGAAAACTCAACATCGCAGAATTTTTCTGTAGCTGTAGCCCGTAGCGCTGAAATCTGCGGAATTTAGATTTTTCCGTGTCAGCTGATTTCTTTCTTTTATAGGTGGTTGCCACTTCGTCAGTTTTGCAGATGGTAAACAAGTTATAATTTCCTATTCAAAATACGTTTAAAATATTTGAAATTTGCCATTGAATAAGGTTTTTTGTTGAAAACTAAGTAGATTATATTTAGCTACCATGTATTGTAGCACGAAAAATTGTATTTGAAAATGTAAGTTTATGAAAAGGCATTGATGAGTGGCAACACTGTAGTAAACAACACTGAGGGCTCCAGTAATCGACAAAATTCTGCGTATACAGACTGCGTTTAAGTATACGTTCTGCGTTCTTGACTAATTTCAGCTTTACCGGCACTGGATATAAGGATCATGTGCAACAGTTGGGACCAGTTGTACGAAAACTAACTGAACTGGAGCTGCAGGCACAATCTTTATTCTTGAAGCGTTTAAAATTTTAAATATACACAAATGATTCGCTATGGAAGTTGTACAACGTACACACAACCCATCTGGCTAACACTATAATACATTAATTAATCGCATTGCTTTTCATTCAAACAATGTGGGAACTATTCGTTTTTTCAGACATACATTCATACTTAAAATGCATAATTACAAGCATAAATTAAAATGGAAATTGCTTACAGCTAATTTGTATTTGTTTTTCAGCTTTCATTTAGTTTAAGGTTGAATCTCTTTTGGCTCTCCTCGATTATAAAATGTCAGAAACAGACTTCTTTTCTCACAATGACTCTTTTGTGCACTCACTGTCATCTTCATCGGCACCCTCCTCGTCTTCTTCATTGAATTGTGTACGCATTTGTTGTACAGAAAGTAATTGTTTGCAAAGTTGATTGCCAAAGGACTCCACGTAGCTGGGACTGATTTTATTTAACAAAGAATATGGCGTTTCATAAACCTCCCCTTCGTCCTCACTTACTTCATTTTTATCAGCATCAATTGTATCAAATCTATTGGCAACCACGCGAAAACCAATACTCGATACTTGCACACAGTATTCCTGACCCTCGATAGTGCGCACGTTCAGGTACACTTTACTCTCGTTGTTGGGCAGTTGTCGGGAGATTTCAATTAGTGCAACATGAGGATTAACATCTCGTATAATCGCAGCTGCTTCCTCCTCCCAGTTAATAATTTCTTCGTCACCATTGTCATAAGTAGGACTAGGAGCGGGGTTGGTATCTGAGGGAATACTCATCTTAATTAAATATCGGCTTTTACACGAAGATGAAAAGGATATCTTATACGGATATCATATGTACATATATGATGCAGTTTTCAGATTTTGCTAGTAAAACGACAGCGATTTCGGCCACATCCAATAATTAGGAAAATTTGCCGAAAAAGTACCAAAGTTTAAAAGACCATACTTAGGGTTTACACCAGACAATTATGAACCAAAAATACAAGATCACACCTTCTTCTTAGTAGCCCGTTATAATCGCATTTAGGAAAAAAGTTAGGCGACTTTGACATTAGCCGTTGTTTACAATTTGGTGGTGGCTTTTAACTGCAATTTTCTTAATTTTCGCTTGTGACAACGTGTGCACACATAACATGATTTATAGAAGAATTTGCATAATAAAAATGATTATTCATGCGTTCAACAATTACGCGTTTTTTTTTTTGTTCTCTTCGTTGTTTACTTCTTACAACAAAGATGGCGTCGAGATTTCAACAGCTACAAAATAACTTTTTTCTTTCTTTCGGGAAAGCGTGATCTGTGTCTTTCGTTCAGCTGAAATTAGTCAAGAACGTAAACGTACCGGTACGTAAAACCGAGTCAGCTGACACGATCTGTCATACCAGAGCGCCATGTAAATGAAAACTCAACATCGCAGAATTTTTCTGTAGCTGTAGCCCGTAGCGCTGAAATCTGCGGAATTTAGATTTTTCCGTGTCAGCTGATTTCTTTCTTTTATAGGTGGTTGCCACTTCGTCAGTTTTGCAGATGGTAAACAAGTTATAATTTCCTATTCAAAATACGTTTAAAATATTTGAAATTTGCCATTGAATAAGGTTTTTTGTTGAAAACTAAGTAGATTATATTTAGCTACCATGTATTGTAGCACGAAAAATTGTATTTGAAAATGTAAGTTTATGAAAAGGCATTGATGAGTGGCAACACTGTAGTAAACAACACTGAGGGCTCCAGTAATCGACAAAATTCTGCGTATACAGACTGCGTTTAAGTATACGTTCTGCGTTCTTGACTAATTTCAGCTTTCATGCCAGACAATATTGTCAGCAGTGTTGCCGTTTTAGCCCTTTGGTGGCTAAATTTGGCTACCAAATTCTTTTTTTGGCCACAAAAATTTGAAATTGCCCCTAGCCCTTTTCAAAATTTATTCATCATTGACATTAAAATTTTTTATATGATTTTCATGAATTTATCTCTTCGCTCATAAAGCGAACGCCTTTCCTTTAAGGCAAATAAACTGTTGTTGTTGTTGTTGTAGCAGCACGTAGTCCCCGAATTGGTTGGTTGTTTATTCATCTTCCCCATCTGACTCCTCCAACCTTAGGCCCAGGAAGCGAGCAGTCTCGATAGGTTGAGTCCACAACGCTTCGGGTGTCAGATGGGTGGGATATGTAGGGCATGCGAACAAGTGTGTGGTGTTGTATGGACCAGTTCCGCATGCTGGGCAGGTGTCAGCGATCTCTGGGTCTAATCTGATTCTGTATGAATTTAAGCGGCTGCACCAGCCAGATCTGAGTTGAGCTAGCGTGGTTCTGGTTTCGCGCGGGAGTTGGAGTTCGCTCATATCGATGGGAGGCGGTCGGCCACCGAGGACTATGTTTTCGTGGCGTCCTCGTGTAGCGGAGATGACTGCTTCGCGATGCAGGTTGTTGATTCCCTCAAGGTATGCCTCGCGGCTCAGTGGTGAATTAAGATGTTGGTCGATGTCTGCTTCTAGATGACTGAGGTGTCTCCTTACGTGTCTTGGTGGTTCTGCTCTCAATGTCGACTGTATTTTGGGTGAGTTGTTCTGTGACAGCCTAGCAGGAACTGTTTTGACAGCAGCATATTGTGATCCTTTACCCGGAGCATGAAGTCTCGTCGTGTAGGTGTTGTTCGGAGGACATAAGGAGACATCCTGTCGCGGTTCGTAGAGCGGCATTTTGGCATGTCTGAAGGTTTTTCCACTGCGTGTCACTCGTGCCTACTGTCCACACAGGGGCGGCATAGTTTGCAACGGACCGGCCGATCGCTTTATATGTCACAAGCAGAGTTTCTTTATCTTTTCCCCAAGTGCTGCCGGCGAGCGACTTGAGCACTTTATTTCTACTTCGCAGTTTGTTGCAAACTGTGGTGGTGTGTGCCGAGAAGGACATGAGACTGTCGAACGTGACGCCTAGTATCTTTGGGTGGTTGACTGTCGGAATCTTGACTCCGCCAACGAACACGTTCAGTTCGAGCCTCACCTCTTTTGTCCACGTGGTAAAGAGTATAGCTGTTGACTTAGCGGCCGAATTTGTAAGCTGCGCGCTGTGAAAAATCGGGACACGTCCTCGAGGTAGCGGTTGAGCAGTGTGCACATGCCGTCGATGTTGTTGCCCGTTGCCATGATGGAACAGTCATCCGCGTATGAGACTAAGGAGACTCCCTGAGGTGGAGGTGGGAGTTTCGCTATGTATAGGTTAAACAGGATCGGTGATAGTACCCCGCCTTGTGGTACACCCTGCTTAATCCTACGTGGCTTTGATGTTTTGTTTCTGAATACAACAGATGATTGCCTCCCGCAGAGGTAACTAACAATCCAACGTTTTGTGTGCGGCGGTAGGGTGGACGAGATGATGTCTTCTATAAGTGTTGCATGATTAACGGTGTCGAAGGCCTTTGATAGGTCTAGTGCCACTAGGATGGTGCGGGCGCAGGGGCGCTTTTGGTTCAAACCGTCAGTTATTTGCGCCGTGATGGTGTTTAATGCAGTGGTGGTGCTGTGTAGCTTCCTGAATCCATGCTGATGTGAGGCAAGATGCAGGTGTTGAGTCAGTTGCGGGAGGAGTAGCGTCTCTAGGGTTTTGGCCACCGGGGAGAGGAGTGTGATCGGTCTGTAGGATTCACCTAATTCCGCGTTCTTCCCAGGTTTTTGCAGGGGGATTACTCGCCCGTTTTTCCATATCTCTGGGATGGTGTGTGTGGCTAGTGAGGCGTTTAATAGATTGGTGAGGTATTCGACTCCCGGGGCATCCAATTGCTTTAGCATCAGCATGGAGATGCCATCTGAGCCGACCATTTCGATGCCTTGGCCTTACGAATCGCGTCTTGTACTTCGTTGGGTGTGAATGTTGGTGGTGTGTCAGTTGCTCGGATGTTGTGTGCTTTGCGGAGTGTGCTGCGTTGGCTTATGCTCCTCGCAGGGTGTGCAATAAATTGTCGGCAGAATTCACGCGCGCACTTCTTGGAGTCGGTGTGAATTTCGTTGCCAAATTTGATGGCCGTGTGGTCGTTATACTTCGTCGGATTCGAGAGGGACTTTACAGTAGTCCATAGCTTGCTTACGCCCTCTTGAAGGTTGCATGATTTGAGGTGCTCCCACCATTTATTTCTCTTGTGGTTGTTTACGAGGCGCTTGATCTCAGCGTTAAGATCCTTGATGCTGATCTTCGGGATTGGCTCGCCTGGTTCGGTCACGGACGTCAGCGAGTCTTGCCGCTTCGGTCGGAAAGCCTGGTCGGATCTCCGGTATGCGTCCGGCTGGGATGAAGCGGGCAGCTGCCGCGTTTAGGACAGTGCGGAATTTACGCTCGGCTATGCGAGCGTCTGGTGGAGTTGGTAGGGCACCTATGTGGGTGTTCACGTAGTCTCTGAAGCCGTCCCAGTTGGCCTTTTTGATGTTGACATAGGTACGGCGTTCGGAGCAAACAAAGTCGTTGGGCGGTCAATAGATAGTATGATGGGAAGGTGGTCGGAGGACAACGAGATCATGGCTCGCCATGTGGTGCAGTTGATTAAGTTTGCACTTGCGATAGATAAGTCAGGCGAGCTGCTGCAAGTGTCTGTGAGTCTCGTTGGGCATCGTCATTCAGGCAGCAGAAGGTGGAGTCATCAATTTGCTCTGACAGCGCTGTACCCCGTTGGTCGTTGCCGGGTTGGAGTGCCAGAGCTCGTGATGGGCATTGAAGTCGCCTATCACTAGCGTGTTATCTCCGATGAGTAGGGGGCTGATATCTGGACGATATCCTGGCGTACAACTGGTGATGGGTGGGATGTAGACGTTGATGATTTTCAGATCGGTGTGTCCTGAAGTAACGGCTATACCCTGGCATTCGATGAAGAGGTCGGCGCTGTCGATTGCAGGCGTGACGCTTCTATATTGTACTAGAGTGGTGGATGATAAAAGCGATGCCTCCTCCTCTGTCGCGTAGGCGGTCTTTGCGGATTACGTTGTATCCGTCGCAGGTGAGAAGGTTAGAACCGCTGCGGAGCCTTGTTTCTTGTACTGCCGCGATTTTGATGTTATGCCTCGACATGAAGTCGGTCACCTCTGGGATTTTGCCTTGGAGGCCGTTGATGTTGATGTGCATAATGGCAATGGTACTAGGTTGGTTTGTTCGGGCCGCCGGTGTAAGTGGAGACTGGTTTTGTTGTGAAGGTGGTATTGTTTGGAGGGCGGTATGGCGGGGGTGTGTGGTGTGGCCGCCGAGGTCGTGTTTGGTGGCCGGGAGCAGCAGGGGGCGACGTAGGCGCTGGAGTGGTCGCGTAGCCTTCTCAGCCTCGAACAGCTGCGGAAGTGACACCAGCCCTCGCACCTGTTGCATTGAACGGATGCTACGTTGGCGCGGATCTGGGCTGCACATACCGTGCATGTCCAGATCCGAGTTTGGGGTTGTTCATTTAGTCTGTGGTGGCTTTCAGATTGCTGGTCCGGCTGATGTGTAGTTGCTCGCTCTGGCGTTCGAGGTTGCAGATACGTAGGGTTAGCTTGCTGAGTGGGCGAGGGTGTTGGTGGTTGGGAGCAGGGAGCCAGATAGTTGGGTAACCGGTCCCGTGTGCTATTTAGGCCTGAACAATTGCGGAAATGGCACCATCCTTCACAGCCACTGCATTGAACGGACGTGGCGTTGCCATGTATGCGGTTGTTGCATACACAGCACAGCCAGACTTGCCTGTTGGTGGTGCTAGGTTGTTGCCGCTCTTGAGTTGCGGGATGTGCATGTGGGTGTGGTTGCGTACGTTGCCCTCTGGTATGCATTTGCATTGCTGTGTAATGTTGCATTTGGTGTGATGCGTTGAGGTTATGTGATTGCATTTGCGTTGCTGAGTAATGTTGCGTTTGGTGTGATAAGTTGAGGTTATGTGTGTTTTGTTGCCGGGGTGCATGTTGCTGTCGGGTGTTGTTTGGTTCGCCTGGCTGCTGGTTGTGCGTTGCGGTGGTTACAGGCTGGCAACAGGCTGCGATGT